AGTGCCACTCGTGGTGTTGATTGGCTTTCACCAAAATGAGTAATTTCCCTTTCTAGCGGATTTTATTCTCTGTCGTTACCAATTCCCACATGGTTCTTTTTTTTGTCGAAGCTTATGGTTTTCTTTGCGGACATTCGTGCAGTTATTGTTCGTTTGACTTTGTCAGTAGCAACTCCTGCTCCTTTGCATTCGTTAATGTTCATACATTGCAAATGCACCCCGTTACTCTGGGAATCACAAGATTCCTCTTTAGCAAATCGACTAAAACCATCGAACAATTTACAACTTCCCTAATTCTCTGCATTGATTTTTAAGGCTGTTTATTTTTAACAAAATACTCACGCACTTTAGGACTGTGGAAGTTAGTGGATTGTTAGTGGACTGTGCAAATTAGTGCAAGTTTGTCTTTCACCGACTTGCGCGTGCATTTCCTTGATCTTCCAGTTCATTTCACAAGCAATTTTTTGCAAACAAAGCCTCAGAAATTCCTGCCACATAAATGCCCGAAGATGTATCAGTGCCAAGATAAAACCTAAGAATTTCACAGAACTTTCATCCTAGAATAATCGAGCTCGAATTTAACAGCTGTGGTACTTATTGAACTTGAAGCATTCTTGCGGTAGCAGAAGCATACTTTTCCTGTCTGCTTCAACAGTGGTGTATTTAACAAAACGAGACTGCTCCTCTTTAGGCGCTGCAAAGAACTGCTGCCAATTATCAGGCCAGCTCTGCAAGTAGTTTTAAAAATCAAATTAAGTGGGATAACGCTTTACTAAGCAGTGTCAAGGAATTTCTGCGAAAAATTACTGCCTCGATCGTTTTACAAGAATCTACTGATAAAGGAGTTATCGCGAAGCCACAAACGAATACGCCTTTCCGTTCGAAAGTGAAAAAGATGGGGGCAAAACATAGATCCTTGAACTTTTGCAACTGATTTAACTCATAAAAAATTCGAGCTTGTCCAAGAAAGCTGGAATTTTTGTGGTAATTCCCAAACTTCTTAGAACATCTGAAAATGGATTACTAAAGGGGATAATTTGATAGAAGGAACTATCAAACGTGCTCGAGGCAACAGCTTCGCCGATGAGTTACCCTAGCGATTGCAAACCAGAATCATTGGCGGCGCACACTGGGGGAGGGAGGGGGGAGGGCGTGCAATCATGCGTTTTTGCAGTGTTTCGTGCTGCAATAAGATCACTCGAAATTCCGCTAGCTAGAAACCTCTTGTACATACTGTCCTCGAATTTCGGGAAGTCAATTATCCACGCTATACTTCGACAGGGAACATTCCCTTGAAATCCCAGTTTCCCAGCTTTCTCAGTCCCGAGTACCCAAATTCCAGCCAGAAAATTCACGGGGCCGTACGTGGCAACCACGCATAACTGGGGGCTGAATTTGATAAATTTAAGTTGTAGATGGGTTAGAACATTTCCTGACAGTTTCAGCCTCCCAGCTTCCCTGGTTCCGGAGTTATCCATTTTTCTGCCAAAAACTTTCACGGGACCGTACGTGGCATCCACGCATAGCGGGGGGCTGAATTTGACAAATCTAATTTGTGGATGAGTTGGGAACATTTTCTGAAAGTTTCAGCCTCCCAGCTTTCTTGGTTCCCGAGCTAGCGATTTTCGCACCAAGAACCCTCACGGGGCCGTATACGCGGGAGACGCGCATACCGGGGGGCTGAATTTAAAATCTTTGTGTTCTATATGGACGGGGAACATAATCCCAAAATTTCAGCTTTCTAGCTCTTCTGGTTCCCAAGTTAGCGATTTTCCCGCCAAAACTTTGAGGCGCTCGCACACGGGGCCTAGATTTGCTTGAGGACTGATACCGCGGTCCTGGGGTGGCATTTAGCTGGGGAACCCACTCGCAAAATTTTGGCGCCAGAGCTTACTTGGGTGCCGAGTTGAAGCACCCGGACAGACACACACATACACGCACACACATACGCGCACAAATACACACACACAACACACACATACACACACACACACCTGGGTCGTCACAATATGTGTTTTTGCATATATGCAAAGACGCATAATTATGTATGGTTTATGTGAAAGACATTTATCAGCAGTTTTTATGCGTTTTTTCTGTGCAGCGCTATGGCGCTGCTACAGT